TTTTCATTACTTTTCATTACTTTTCAGTACTTTTCATTACATTTCATTACATTTCATTACATTTCATTACATTTCATTACATTTCATTACATTTCATTACATTTCATTACATTTCATTACATTTCATTACATTTCATTACATTTCAATACATTTCAATACATTTCATTACATTTCATTACATTTCATTACATTTCATTACATTTCATTACATTTCATTACATTTCAGTACATTTCATTACATTTCATTACATTTCATTACATTTCATTACATTTCATTACATTTCATTACATTTCATTACATTTCATTACATTTCATTACATTTCATTACATTTCATTACATGTCATTGCATGTCATTACATGTCACTACATTTCATTGCATTTCATTACCTTGAGTTACATTAGGGACACACACACACATACATACATACATACATACGTGCATACGTACCGTTACATACACATACACATACACATGCACGTACACATACACATACACATACACATGCACATGCACATACACATACACATACGCATACACATACACACGCACATATACACATACACACACATACACACACACACATACATACACATACATACACATACATACATACATACATACCTAAACCCTCATAATTACATACATACATCCACACACGCCCATGTGCACGCCCAAGAACTCTAAGTAACTTCAGTACTCATGCGACGACAGTGGGTGTCAAAATCAGGGATGAGAATAAGTGAGTGAGACTGTCGATTTGAATTTACGTCCAAGTGAGAGTCACACTGTGACAGTGTGATTGAGATTGAAAGTCCGAATGAAAGCGAAAACGTAATTAACCTTCGGTTCGCCTCAGTCGCTACACTGACATCCGCTGTATTGTGCTTGAGTGATGTGTTGCATTCCACTGATCCCACCAACTCCCCACACTCCATACGCTTCGCTACTGCAGTCGTTTGCTCGCTCCTTTCACTTCCCCGCAAACAGCATGCAGGAGAACAGCGGGGGCCCTTGAAATTGCGAAGTAGCACCGACGCAGTTGACCGCCTGGCATAGTCCAATCAGCGTGGGGTGATGTGCTTGTTGTTCAGAAAGCAGTTTTGGAGCCCGTGTTCGCAGCAGATTCACTTTCGTCTATTTGCTTATTCGACCGAACTCCAATGTCTTTCACCGACTCCGCTGCTTTTGTTTGTCCGTCTACAGCTGCACCGCCGCCGCCGCTGCCGCAGCCTCCCTTTCCCCCACAGCGGCACCGCCGCCGCCGTCGCCACATTTGCTTCTACTCCTACCGCGGCTGCTGCTGCTAGTGCGGGTGCTGCCATTGCTGATTTTTGTCGCAATCGGAAGAGCAAACTTGAGCCTAAAACAGCGCTGCACGCGCCAAACTAATTGGGGGCAACAGCACAAAAAGGAAGAGCCAACTGGTTGACCTTCTGGTTATAAGCAATTTGACACCCGTTTATGTCCGAAACCATGAACCTTCTGACGCTTTCCCAGCTATCTGGGGTTTTCGCCGGTCTAACGATTGACCGACGGACTTGAGAGCAAGAATCCAGTGGTGGTGCTGAAGGTGGTGGTGGTGCTGGTAACGTTGCTGGTGAGGATTGGAAGTGGTGCTGGCGGTGGTGCCTGTGATGAGTGGGTCGCGTCTTCGTTGTTTCGGTTAGCTTTTAGGGTTGGCTGTTGAGTCACCGCTGACAGTAGGCGAAGACTAATTGTCACGAGCCGGCGACACTGAGCTGAAGCTTGTGACTGTCGGACTGCTTCGCCGACTTGATCTTTGTTTCTCAAGTCTAGACTTGTACAGTTGCACAGTGCTCCCGTACTCCGGCATCCACAAGGCCCTCGACGTGATTAAAACATGAGTCAAAATGATGCTATGGGTTGAGCCTGGCAGGTGCAAGCGATGTCGGCGTGGAGCCAAGCTTGCCCGGGAGCGAGTCCAGGTTTCCTGCCACGACAATGTTAGGTCCTAAGTCCTCGAGCGTACACAGCTCTGATAGAAACCGGTGCCGGCAACCCAGATATTCAATCCTTGCCTGGTTGGAGTGTTTGTATGAGAGTGGCTGAAGGACGGTGCAGGCATTACCATGCGATTGCAGCATGAGATCGAGCGAAGGTTGAAGCAGGACTGCAGTGCACGATGTTGAACCTAAAGTACCAGAGCTGTGTGTGACGATGACGATTTTCACGAGCTGCCAGCAACGCATTGCAGAGGACCCAAAATCCGACTGGGCAAGCGCCGAACGCCCTCCAACTCAGCACTTGAGTTCTGTCCGGCGAGTTTTGGAGATGCTGGCGAAGAAGGTTTTGGGGGGGTGCGCACGAAGCGATCTTCACCTCAGGCCAACTCGTCCGGCCTGCATCTGCCATTGAGGATGAAGGCCTGTGTCTGAGGCTTTTCATGACAGCTCCCCGGTTCTCTCCCAGATGAGCTTAGTCGGCTTAGTCTTTGCAAAACAGCAGATCTGTCCTGGGTTGCGTCAGGGCGTCTTTCGTTCTACGAGTGGCAGGAACTGCAGGGCCTGCAGCGTCCTAAGGAAGCTACTCGGAGCTGCCTCGGCTGCTTTCTCTCTGCGGAGCCCCTTTTCAGGCGGGAGCGGGAGAAGGACCACGCCGCGGAGATCCAAAGGTTGCAGAAGCGCTTGGAGGCCCTGCCGTCCTTGTAGCTACAGTCTAAAGTCTAGAGTGTCCCATAAGCCGGAGTGGTGCAGGAAGCAGAAGGCCTGAAGCCCGGCCTGACTGATCGATCGAAGGAGGCCTGTGACTGTCGGAGCGCAGGCCCGCAGCATTTGAAGGTTGAGAATCTCAAGAAGGAGCCGCGCCAGGGCTCTTGCTGGCAGTCGTGATGGTGATGCTTTGGTGCCATGAAGGAGCTTGACCTCACGGACAAGCTTTTTGTTGAGCGCAATCAACACTGCCGAAAGGTGGGTCCAAGAATTATGTCCCACCTTCATGGCCGTATTTGCTGGTGAAGGTGGAGCTCGAAAAAGCCAACGTGGCTGCAACACTGAAGAGCAAGGATGGGGCACTTAACGGCTGTGCGGCTATGCCTAGTGGGGTCGTGATGCTCTCATGCTAGGAGAAGGAGGTGAAGGACTTGCGAGAGGAGTTAGGGGTCGCAACGGAGCAGGCGCAGGCCTGCGGCCTTCCCTGCGGCCTTCCCTGCAAGTCCCCAGCCTTGCCCTTGTCGACCAGGCAGCCCAGAGATGCCTGGCCGAGAAAGAGACGGAGAACAAGGCGCCTTTTTCCACCGCAGTGGGGGGGGTCCCGGGGGGACGGCTGGGACCCCCCGGGAGCCGCCGGGAGCCTGTCGCAGGCGCTGCAGCGAAAATGCGAGCGGTTGGAGCGGAGTCTCAAGGCACACTTCTTGCGAAACGCGTGGGAGGGACGGCCAGAAGAGTCAGGGACTGGCAATCAGGAAACCGTGGTTCTGGAAAGTTGTGGCCAGCAGCAGTCCAAGATCTATCGCTCACAGCGGGCCTCTGAGAGCCTTTCGGAACTTTACCTCTCCCTCCTGCAGCCTTGTGCGCCGGTGCTGTAGCATTGCAAGGTCTGGAGGCATGCTGGCCGAGAAGATGCACCAAATCCGTCGACCCCCGAGCAGTCCCAGCACTTTCATCCTTCTTGATGCCACGGTCGGCATGAATAATTCCTGAGGTCTTCACTGGTGAGGCCTGCCACCTGCAGAAGCACAGCCACACAAGAGGCCCTGCAAGCCGACGTGCCGAGGTCATTCTTCGCACGGAGACCTGTGCACATGCTGAGACGGGCAAGTGCTTGGGTCGTGTGACCGATTTGCCTCAGTGCAGAGATGTGCAGAGTCTGTGTATTGCCTGCCACTTCTCTCACCCCCGGTAACCCGTACATCGCTGTCAGCCGTATATCATCTAAGCTTGTTTTGGAGCGGGAGGGCCCGCCGGTGCCGAGCCAACTTGGGCAGGGCGCCGGCAGAGGTTCGGGGGATCGGAGATTCACCGCATGCAGGAATGAAAGAGAGGCGACCTGACTTGAGCTGCCTCGAAGCTTCGGACACTCTGTGACACAGAGCCGTGCTGCAGACATCTCGAGTCTAATCCGTATGGGCGGAGTCGCTAAGAGGCAGCTCTTTTGAGAGGCCGCGGGGTCCCTTGCGAAGGCAAGGACGCAGTTCTTTTTCCCAAAGTGGGCAGGCTGAATTTTCTGCGTCATGCAGGCGTGACTGGCTGACTGCCCCATGATCACAGAATCAACAGGAGGTCACGGGATCTTAGGGCTTGGTCTGTTGGCAGTCACCAGCTTCTCACAAGCTTGTGCTCGTGCCGGGCCCGACAAGCTTTGTTTTGTCATTTCCCCCAATTTTAAGATTGTTTAGAACCCTCATCAAAGAGACCCTCAATGTCTGTGTGTCCTTGGAACCACGAGGGCTGCAATCTTTTGCAGCTCCATGCTCTGGAGCCTCGCAGATCTGCCGCAGCCGTAGCTATTCCTCCAGCTTCTAAGCGAGCACGGCGTGACAACACAGCACTCATCCATCAACATCAGTATCATCATCATCATCCTCCTCCTCATCCATCATCATCATCATCGTAGTAGGTATAGGTGGGAGCAAGGCTTACAAGGACAGCGACGGCATCTTCGCATTCTTATCATGGTGCAGGCTAGATGAAGGGGCCTGCCATCGGTCGATTTTGCGAGGTTTCAATAGTGCAGCTCCGAGGCACCGCGCATTTCCTGATCGAATCTTTAATGATCCCTTTCACAAGCAAGTCATCGCTTGGGCAAAGACGCTAGAACCTTCTGGAGAGCTTAGAGGCGTAGGGGCAGTTCGGTTCACGTCTCCCAAGACAGACTCGATTCTGCATGACCAGCAATTGCTGGCACAAAGCACAGACATTGAGTCAAGAAGTCGCGGCAGCGCCGCGTTCCTGCATGGCTCTCTCGAAAAGGTGAGCCTTTCAAACCTAACCTGGACTGTGCTTTGTGCTAGCAATGCATTTTCCGCTGGACCTCGGAAGGCAAGCAATGCTTGTCAGCAGGCTGAAGAGGGCGCACCGAACGACAGAAGAACAGAGAAATGCTTCGATTGTCGGGAGCAGCCCTTTGAGGAGCCTGTCAGCACTTCGTGGAATTTGATTTGCGTGGGATTGGACAGAGGGCTAAAGTTCTCACACTGCACGCAAGTTGAAGCCCTGCAACTGGGCTGAGAAGGCCCTTCGGATCCATGCAGAAACTGCACGAGCACACGAACCCCAGATGCCCTCGATCTTGCCTTTGCAAGGCTTGACGAGGAAGGTTCCCTTGGTTGCGGGTCCATGCGACACGCCTTTGTGATTGGTAAGAAAAGAACGTGCGGAAACAGGCTTTCGGCGTCGCTGTCATCTGTGCATGCCGGGCGCCATGGCTCTCTTCCGCGCGCTTCGTGTCGAAGAGCTTTGGGGGCCCTTGAGCCGGTGCCGCCGTTCACCGCCGTTCCCTCGTTCCCTCCGCTCCGTCTCGGTGCCATGAGGCGCTGGCGCTCCTGGCCTGCGTGGCTGCTTTTCCTTGGGTCGTTGATGGGATGGCCCCAGAGGCAAAGGGACGTCGAGGGGCAAGCTGACTTTGTGCAGCTTCGGAAGGCCGTGCCAGGATGGAGGAGAGGCCCTCGTGGACTTCGCAGTTTCTATGGGGATTCGATCCCTGTGCCTCCACCTGGTCATCCTGACCATCCAGTTGGTGCTGAGGTTCAGCCATTTGCCAATCAAAATGGAGGTGTTGATGACACCATCGCGCCACCCCGCCTGTACATGTCACATGCTTGCGTTTGGCACGCGACCTTCCGTGGTTCTGGAGTTCCTTCCAACTGCGAACACATAGCAGAAGAAAAAGCCGTCCAGCCGAAGCTTCTCATTCTCCTTCCCATTGTCTCTCCCTCCCTCCCTCTCTCTCTCTCTCTCTCTCTCTCTCTCTGTCTTTCTCCTCTCTTTCTTTGACAAGTGAGGTATGGTCCAGCGGCAAGCCCGCTCGCGCGAGGCTACGCGGTGGACTGCAGTGCATGGCACACTTCTGGGAGTGCAGAGCGGGAGCAGCTGGTGGACCAGGTCCGGGCGCCGTTGCACGCCATCTGCCCCTGCTCCCGGCCCCCTTGCCCGGCCCAGGTCTTGACGGTGCTGCGGAGGAACGGCTTCGCGGTGCTGGAGGGCATGGTCCCAGCGGCCGAGCAGCTGGCGATGGAGGCGGCGGCCGTGCGCCACTTCGAGACTTTGCCCGAGGGCTACTTCACCTCCCCGCTGCGCGCGGACCGGTCTCAGGTCCACGTGCCCTACGAGGCTCCGAATGGGGAAAAAACACGCAGTGGGTCCGGGAGTCCGGGAGGGGGATAGGCCGCCCCAGGGCCCCAGAGTCTTTCCAGGAGCCCTGGAGCGCCGAGTGGCTGGTGCCCAACGACCTTGTGCTGCAGGTCACGGCGAGGTATGTGATCAACAACATGGCCTGTGGGAGGTCCGAGGAAGAGCAGCAAGCGGCCTGGTGCCAGTGGGTGACGCAGGGCTCCGACATGGACTGGTTCTATCAAGTGCCGCCACAGCAGGGCCCCTTGGCAACCGAACCACCGCATGGCTGCACTTGCGTCGGGAGGGCCGAAGAGCTTGGGCCCTGGCTGGGACGGGTGATGATCACCAAGACCCCAAAGCAGTCACCTCTGATGACCCGACACCGGGACATCATCCTACCGGGCCCTTTCGCACAGCTCACCGTCGGCGTCCCTCTGACGCCCTTGGTGGCCAACAACGGCCCCTTAGCTCTGAGGCCTGGTTCCCACGTCATGGACAGCCCCGGCTACGAGGTGGTAACCAACATCCCCCACGGTTCCATCATGCTCTACGATTCATTCGTCGACCACCGGGCCGTAGAGCACCATGGCACGGAAGACCGCTACGTCCTCTACTACGAGTTCGAGACGCGGGGCATCTTCACCGGCTATGTGGACGGCCACTTTGGGAAAGAGGCCTCCAAGTCTGCGCTTCCGCTGAAGAGTCTTCATAGATGTACTTTCCTGCCGCGGGTCATCTAGGACAGTCTAGGACCTAAAGGGATCTTCCGGTTCCCAACCTGTCCCGCCGCGACGCAGCGACGTAAGGAGCACGACTTCCGGGAGGTCGTCGATCCCGTCCTTCGGAGTTATGTGGCGCAACTTCAAGACCAGCGGATTATGGCGTAGACACAAAAAGGGGAGCAGTGCAGCCCAGCATATGGTTGTCTTTAACGCCCCAGGGGGTCCAGCACGCTCCATGCATGCATATACATTTGCTGCTCTCGAGCAAGGTCTTCGCTCGTGAGCCAGGCCATTGCACGCCTGCTAGCTAGAGGCCGTCAGGTTGCAGGATCTTTGGAAGGTCTTCAGCTTGGTCGCGAAGGCCCATCTAGCTTGCGCTCGGTGTTTTTTTCGAGGTTGGTTCTTCCATTGCCTGCTTGTAACATACATTAACATGCTAAGGCCTTCACTCGACTCATCCGAACATAGTCGCTGGAAGCGAGCATCGAAGACTCTGCGGCGATTTTGAGCTTTGAATTCAGAGTCAGGCCTGTCCAGCTTAGGCATTGAGCAACGCATGGCATTTCATCTTTCCAGTAGAGTTGTGGCAGTTCAGGCAGCGGTGGTGCAACGGTTGTTGCGGGAGTTGCGTAATCATAATGCGAGGGGAAGGCCTCTCGTAGAATGGTCGTTCCTCCTGTGCGGAGCCCTGGAAAGCGGCTTGAATCGACGCCGGAGAAGGAGAACAGCTTTGCCGGCTCGTGGAACCTGGACCTTGGCAGATTTCAGCGGAAGTGCGCGGAGATCAGCGCATCCCTGTCCCAGCCATCACTGGGGGACCGTGTCCGGGCGGAGACCGCGCGAAGTGGCGATGCCCCGCTGCCCTCGACGAGCACCGTCTTGCAAGGCGAGGCCTGGAGCCCGAGCCCGAACGAGCGAGGCGGGCTTTGCTCCGAGCGATCGCCCTTGCAGGACTGCACTGTCCAGGTCCAGGTCCAGTCTCCTCCGACAGTGCCCTGCACGCAGTTTCGCTCGCCGGGCAGCCCGCTAGCGGCCAAAGCAGCCGTGCAGCTGGTGCAGTCTCCGTCGCTGCATCCGATGCATCCCGTGCCGACCCGCTGGTGTCTGCCGGAGTTCGAGGATCTGCGCAGGAAGATGCAGCACAGCCAGGATCTCACAGCTCTTTGCAAAGTGCGTACATCGAAGCGATCTCACTTCGAGGCATCTCCGCACTCCAGCGGAGCAATGCGCAGCAGGCAGAGATGCAAGCAGCACTGTCACAGGCGGACCCCGCGGTTTTGGGATGCCCAGTGTTGCACAGAAAGGAAGTTCCTGTTGAGGCCTTGCAGCGTGGCGAGAGCTTCAAGGAGGAGGCGCAGGAAGCCAGGCGGTCCAAGGACCGGCACCATCACAAATGGTGTGCGCTCGACCAAGAGCCCGGGCACCAAGCTGCCAAAGATTTGCGCACCAGCCCTTCTTGTGTCTTCCCTTCGTCCGGCTTTGGCTGCGGAGGCGGGAAGCGCTGCAGCGCGCAGCGCAGGCAGCACAGGCGGCGGAGCGCGCAGCACGCGGCGCCGAGCGCTCGGCGCTGGAGGAAGCCGCTGCCGGTGCCCGAGCAGCGCACAGACAACAAGTCGGGGCTCGATGGGCTCAGGAGATCTTACACTTCATGTTGTTGAGGCCTGGAGACGTTGGTTGGCCAGCTTCCTGGATGTTGGGAACCCAGACGTCGACCTTGAAGAAGCCATGCGGCCTCGCGTGCCTCAGCCGCCGGAGGTGCTGCTTCGTCGAGGGACACAGAGCCACCTGCAGGCGGACGTGAGCGCGTCGCAGTGCTTCGAGGCCCGGCCCCAGAATCGGTGGTTCGACCCGTTGCAGACGTGAGCCTAGGAGCGCCAGCCGAAGCTCCATACAGCGCTGCAGCAGCTGTCCCAGCTCTCGGAAAGGTGCCGAAAGACATGCTAGCAGTGTCTGGTTTCGAGGGCTCTGAGCACCTTCTCGGCAAAGAGTGTAAGCTTTGCGTTGACAGTCTTTGCTTTACCATCGCAAAAAAGAGAGAGCGAGAAGTAGAAAAGAGAGAGCAGCCATGTTGGCTCAAGTGCGCTGTTTCCTTTGCGGGATCGTGCCCTATGCCCGGGTTGAGAGAAAGATATTGAAGCATGGTGCCAGCTTGAGTTTGCTGATGGGGTGCTAATACTCAGATTGGTGTGCCCCACCCAACATAGGAGTGGAGGGGCGATAATTGGAGCAGGATTTTTCCCATGAGGCCCGGCAGCAGCGTCAATGGCTTGGGGGTCCAACCAAGATGATGGATGGGCCGTTCTGACGAACGGAGGGCAGGACCTGCCTGCTTTCCAAGTCCCGAGCAAAGCAAAGCAAAGCAAAGCGAGCAAAAAGAAACAGAGAGAGAAACAGAAAGACAGAGAAGGAAAGTGATTCGGCCCGAGTCGGACCTTCGGGGCAGGCCATCCCTGGAGCCCGGGTTGCTCGCCGAGATGTGCTCGGCTGAAAGGGCAAAAGGGGTCTTTGCCCGGGCTTTGCCCTCACGCTCGAGGTCAGACTTGTACGCTTGGCTGGCGGGTGTCATGGGGGAGAACAGGCTCCTGCACCCCCGCTCAGAATCCTCAGCTGCCTGGGCTGACTCACAGGTTGTCTGTCATATGGAACGATGGACACGAGGTGGGACACTCAAGGGTGGCACTGCAGACTTTTTCAGACGTCCTGCAAGGTGCAGCAGAAGGCTGATGATCGAGTGGCCCAGTTGGAAAGGAAGCTGGCACAAAAGGCGTCTCGGGACAGAGCTTTCTTCAGCTTCTGAAAGTCTCCTTTCCTCGGGGTATGCAGGAGATCGCCGTGGCATCCTTGGAGCATGAGAAGCGCGCTCTTCGGAGCGAGGCGGGCAGCTCGGAAGCGACTGAGCCCCTGCTGTGCGGAGCCATCCTTTGTTCTTGTTGCTTGTATGTGCTTGTCATCGCGGGGGTTCGAGTCGAGTTGAAAACTCCGGGGAGGAGGCCTCTCAGCTTGGATTTTTCTTGGTCGACAGGTCCGCACGCTCCAGAACTTGGTCCAGGCAACCGGGAGTTTCGGGCAACGTTGCCACACACGACGTTTTTGAGAACCGACAGGAACTGCGCGGAAGCATTCGTGTGTTCTGCCGAATACGTCCTCCCAAGCAGTCGGTTGCTCAGTCTGGCATGTATGGTTTAGTGTAGCTTGAGATGCTCGGAATACATGGCAGAATCTCAGAAAGCTGTTTCAGAAAATGCACAAGCCGTTTCAGGGCCCAGGGCATGAACAGGCTCAGAGCACTTTCCAACTGTCCCAGATTTGCACCCCCCCCAACCAAGCCAACGATCCAAGAAAGACCAGCAATCCAGTCTGATGCAAACTTAGGGGGTATCAAGGTTGGATTGTTATTTTTTTATTGGATTGTTGGATAATTGTAACATCTTAGTTTTCTATCTCATCAAAGGGAGCATGCGTCCTTTTGCCTTCTTGTGTAATGCAGCTTCAAGTCTTAGTAATCACGGAACTGATGGGGGGCCGGAAGCGACCTGGCCGAGGCCTGCTGGATCCTTGGCGGGCGCTGCCCCGAGATCCGATGATCTGATCTTCCTTTTGGCACCGCTTGGCTTTGGGCCTTTGGGGCACCGAGGGGCTGCCACGGAGGCCCAAGGAGCCCGCAGCATCTCCTTGCGGAAGCCGGCGGGGGACAAGAGGCCCGAGGCCGAAAGCCTCCTGCGGGCCTCGGAAAGTTTTTGAAACGGCCAGGCAGGACTTCAGCTTCGACCGCGTCTTCTCACAGCTGGCCGGCCAACGTGACTTGTACGAGGCACGATGCTTTTCTCAACTTTTTGGAAGGGAAGGCTTGCTGCGCAGGAAGTGGAGCCTTTGATTCCCGGAGTTCTGCAAGGCATTCACGTCCCCTGGCAGCAATATCAAGCAACGTGCAGTGCCCCGCCTCCCTGCAAGTGCTCTGGAATCCAGGTGTGCATCCTTGCCTACGGCCAGACCGGAGCCGGAAAGACGTGCCACAGAGTGTAGGAGCCGACGCGACAGCAATCCTGTCAGCACCTCGAGGTACACACTGGCAGGGGACCGATCGACTGGGGAGCCCGGCATCCAGGAGCACACGAGAGAGAGGGGGGCCTTTTCCTGCTTGGTTGTTGCTTTCACGGAGGACCTGGCGATTGCCGACCTGCTGAAGTTGGCTCTACACGGCTCGTCGGAGGCTGCAAGGCCGCCCGGAAACCGCCCGGAAACTCCAGGTCCCGAGTGTACAAATCGCCTCAAGCCTCTGACAGGTACGATGTCAGGCTCTCGGCTCTGGAGATCTACAACGAGTCCATCCAGGCACTCCCCGAAGATGCACACAAACGAAGCTCGGGCGCGCGCTGGGCCTGGCCCAAGGATCTGCTCAGCGATCCGGAGACCGGGCCGCGCGAGGGTCTCCAAGAAGGGCCCTGCCCGGCTCTCTGGGAATTTTCCAGACCCCTACACCCCAAACCCTTCAGCCCCTAAACCCTTTCAACCCTAGACCCCCTCTCCTAGACGGGTCCTAGACGGCCTCTGCGGGGGGTCGGTCTGAGGCGAGAGGCTCGAGGTGCGCCAGTCGAAAGAGGCGCCGAAACTGCAAGCCAAGTCGCATCTTCTCTTCTTGAACTCTCCCGCAACAGTTTTATCATGATTGGGGTTACGCCTGGGATGCAGGATGATGTTGTGGTTCAACTTGTTGCTGTCCAGTATCTGTGTGTGCGTGTGTGTGTGTGTGTGTGTGGATTGAGTCTTTGTTTTTCCTGCGGCTGTGGTAGCGTGTCTGCCTCACACTTACATGGAACATGGGGCATGCTAGAGAGGCTGTTCTAGATAAGGACCCGAGCTCAGCCAGCTAGGTAGAGCCATCATATGCAGGGTGATGCAGAGTGCAAGCTGCAGCTGTCCTCGGCCTGCGATGGTGACATGGATGTACGGTAGCTCCAGGGCAGTGCCTGTGACGCCAGGAAGCCTCAGGCTCTTGGCCAGGAGCCCCGCAAGCTTTCGCCCCTCTGGAAAAGTGCAACTTGGAAGAGAGAGAGAGAGCCGAGGCCCTCGCCTTTCGGCTCCATGCGAGTTCCGGGCTTGACGTCCTGGGCCGTGCGTGAGCCCGGAGCCTCGAAAACGGCGCGACGCGTCCGTCCGCGTCTGCGCGTCCGCGTGCTTTTCGAGGTCGAGGGATGTGGAGCAGGCGCTGGGGCGGATCGGGTCCTGGGCTCGGCCCATTCCGGCCTCGCCGAAGCTCACGGAGGAATCTCCGCTTGCTTCATCTTCCTCGCAAGGCGCCAGCGCCACGTGGCCAGCACAGCGCTGAACGAAAGGTCGGCAGCTCAGCACGAAGCTTCATTCTTGTACAGTGGGGTAGCCAGGTCCTCGCGCTCACACTGCGTGCTCTCGCTGTGCGTGCGCGGCGGCCTTGAGGGGGGGGGTGATAGAAATTGAAGCATCTGTTCTAGCCTTCAATCACATGCGAAGCTTCGCAATTGAAAGGAGCTGCTGGAGGGGCCGGTGATGACGAGGCGCGTATGCGACAAAGCACACTTCTCCGCATCACTTCCACATCCAGGGTCAGCGTGGTTGTGGGGTGCTGCACATCGCCGCCGTCTAAGATTGTACACGGTGTGTAGTATGTGTGCAGCGGTGGCGAAGACTCGACCACGTGCAGGTTGACCTCGCTGGCAGCGAGCGCACGAAGGTGTCGCAAGCGGAGGGCATGCAGATGAAGGAGGCCTGCCATGGCCTGCGGCATCCCGCAGCCTCGCAAAGAGGAGCAATCTGGAATCCTTGGGTCACGGGTCAGCTGTGCCAGGCCAACTGCATCAACCGCTCGCTTTCGGCGCTCTCGGACGTGCTGTCTGCCTTGGGTGACTCCAGCGGAAACGAGCTACCCTCAGAGGTGCTCTCTCGAGGCGCAGTGCCTGCAGTGTCCCCGTGCTTCAAGGCGCATATCCCCTTCAGGAACTCCAAGCTAACGTCCTGGACCAAGTTTTCTTGAAGGGATGTTGAGATCCAGGTAGACTTCGCTGAGAGGTACCTTCTTCAGGATGCTCTGGGAGGGCCAGGCTGCAAGACCTTCCTCTTCGCCAATGCCCTATACAGAGCCGCTTGCAGCCGCTTGCGCACTCTGAAGCGGCCACAGGCGCAGGTCTCGCCTGAAGTGGCGGATGCGAACGAGAGCTACTCGACGCTGACCTTCGCATCGAGGGCCCGGGGGCCCTGAGGGCCCTGCAGATGCAAAGAGCGAAAAGCGAGCAGAGAGCAGCTTTCTTCTAGAGAGGTCGCGGCCCACGTGCAGAAGGTGCGTTTCGGACCCCTGCACCTTGCCCGCCCCGTCGACTGCCGTGCCGTGCTCATCTGACGCCAGGGCCGCCTCCGGCCCATGAGCCGCCAGGGCCCCCTTGGAGGCGCGGCGCAGAGATGTCAGAAAGTGGCCTTTGCTGCGTTTTTGGGGGAGGCTCTCCGGCCACACGACAGGACGCGTCCCCGCGGGGACTGCGGTCCCAGGCGCGCCGAGGGCTATGGGCCACAAAAAACCCCCCCCCCCATGTCTCTGCCAGGATTCGGAGCCGAGGCTGCCGCTGCACTCTCTCTCACATCTTGTGGCTTCCGCCTCTGCGCCGCCCCCCGCGTTGCTGACCAGCTTGGCTTCTCCGGTGCTTCGTGCTCGTGGGGTCGCGCCACCTCTGTCTGGCACTGAGTCCAGACATCCTTCCGACTGATGCGACTCCTTTGCGAATGCCGAGGCCAGGGCTGGGCCGAAAGCCGCGATAGCAGGACATCTGCACACCCCTGCAGCCACAGTCTGGGTGCTTGCAGCCCGTCGACACAAAGGACACAACGTAGAACACCTGCTCGTAAACCCCATCTAGACGATGCTAGATTCTGCTAGATATAGGTTGATAAACCGGACAGCAAAGTTGTAGAAGCTGCGATGTTGGATGGTGCATTCTGATTCTGGTTGCTAGTGCACGAATTTGTAATTCGATGAGATAGCTGAGAACCAGCGGCGACCCGGCAAATCTGAAGCAAGTGCTGTTGAGAGCTAGGGCGCGCGCACACGCTCACCATGTAGTTCGAGGCATGTTATGATCTGGCTCTTCAAGTCGCAAGGGAGTTCACCTGGAGAGAAAGGCAGCACGGTCGACACTGATAAGGCTTCAGAAAGACGAAGAAGCAATACAAGCAATACTACAGAAGGAGACATGCTGTATCGGAGGCATCGGCTCACGTCCTTGGTCCGTTTCCCATGGGCTCGGATGAAGGTTCCACCTGGGAGAACGAAGCTATGACGCAGACTTACCCCCTGGAGCCGTGTGACTTGGAGGCAGCGGTGGTAACGGTGCCCTGGACAGAGCAGTTGAGACACAAGATCCTCCTGCTACGTCTTCAGCGGCCCTATTTCATCTATTGCCTCCTCTGCTCACTGCTGGCGGCAGCGGCTTTCCTCTCCACGCTCGTCGATCTTTGGAAGTCAGGCCGCTTCTGGAAAATAGCCCGTAGACACGCTGTCCGATGGTCCGAGGGGGGCCTTGTAAAGTTAAAGCTTCACAAAAAGGGCTCCCACTCCCTTCATTTAAAACCCCTGCTCCCTCTGCAAGGCAACGCAAAGGGTTGGCATGACATTCTGGAGGGTGGCACGTGGCAAAGTGCCTGCTGGTCTTTGGTCACCTTCGCGCTTTTCGCCGAGGTGATATCCAACTTGTTCGTCAGGGGATGGTCCTTCTCGCGTGACTGGTGGTGCCTTTTTGACGCTGTCCTGCTCACACTAACAGTGCTGGCTTGGGCGGTGATGCATCTGAGGAGAGCCTCCGTGATGCGAGAAGAAGCAGAAGAGGCAGATTTGTGGCTCCTTTTCCTTCGCTTTTTGCTGCAGCCTTGCCGCGTCTTGGCGGCTGCAGCGGCCGTCCGGAAGGTGCAGCAGATGCAGCGTGGCTGCGTGGACATCCGCTTCGATGGCCTCGATAAACACTCGGCCGACCGAGACCGGGACGTGCGCAACGACCTGAGTCACCCTACAAATCCGTCTCCGCGCGATGTGGAGTTGCAGAGCAAGATGGTCTGAGCTGAGCGACACCGAGCATCGAAGTCGAAGTCTCACCCCATGGCCCATTTCGGAGCCCATGCTGTGGCCCCCGCGGAGCAAAGAGCGCAGCTGATCTCCACCCTGTGAATCCTATGAACTTATGGCATGTTGCTATCTGGGCCATATTGCAGGGGCTTTCGTAACAGACCTCTAGCCTGGACTGCATTTGATTCAGGGCTCAAGGCACGGAGGCATACTCGTCACTTTTGTCCCGTGGACTAGAGATGGGCATCTCGCCACAAGTCTCAAATCGCACCAGACAGTGGCGATGCGACTCATCCAAGTGGCGGCCTGCCTGCTTCCGAATTGGATTCCTTGTTGGACGAAGCGTGAAGTCGAGATGCCACGCGGCAGTGCACTCAATTTCGACATGCAACGCGGTTGTACATTTCCAAGCAGGCGCTGATTGTAGCCACCCGTGTCAGACCGAGATGCCATTCGGTTGTGCACTCATTTCAAAAAACGGGCGCCGATTCATCGCACCATCTCAAAGCAGGCGCTGATTCAATGCCACGCGGTTGTGCACACATTTTTTTCTCGCACCTTTTTCCGTCTGCCAAAGGTGCCCGAGCTCCTAAGTCCTGCGCTAAGCTTAGCTAGGGCCAGCTACCGAGGCCAGCACTCCGCCCTCTTCAGGGCGCGGTTCAGACGGCGGAGGGACGGCTCTCGCATTTCAATCAGGGCACTGAGGAAGAAATCGCCAGCGTGAAGCCGAGATGCCAGGCGGCTGTGCATCCAGTTTTGAAGCGGGCCTTGTTTAACGCGAAATAACACGACCAGCACGACGCAGAGATGCCACGCGACTGTGCACGCGGGCGCTGATTCGAACGACCTGCGCTGAAACCAGGATAGTTCATTTCCAAGCGGGCGCTGATTCGAACGACGAGCCCTGAAACCAGGATGCCACCTGGCTGAGCATTCATTTTGAAGCGGGCGCTGATTCGAACGACCAGCCCTGAAACTACGATGCCACGCGGCCGAGCATTCATTTCCAAATGGGCGTTGATTCAAACCACCAGCGTGAAGCAGAGATGCCACGCGGCGGTGCATCCAGTTTTGAGGCAGGCGTTGTTCAAAACGACCAGCACCACGCAGAGATGCCACTCGTGCACGCGGGCGCTGATTCGAACAACCAGGACTGAAACCAGGATGCTACGCGGCTGTGCAATGCTGTGCATTCATTGCCAAGCGGGAGCTGATTTGATCGACCGGCCCTGAAACCAGGATGCCACGCGGCCGAGCATTCATTTCGAGGTGGGCATTGATTCGAAGTACGAGTGTGAAGCAGAGATGCCATGCGGCTGTACATCCAGTTTTGAAACGGGCTTGTTTGAAACGGCCAGCACGATGCAGAGATGCTACGCGACCTTGTGCACGCAGGCCTTGATTCGAACGGCCAGCAATGAAACCAGGATGCCACGCGGCTGTGCAATCCTGTGCATTCATGTCCAAGCGGGTGCTGTTTCGAACGACCAGCCCTGAAACCAGGATGCCACGCGGCTGAGCATTAATTTCCAAGCCGGCGTTGATTCAAACCACCAGTGTTATGCAGAGATGCCACGCAGTTGTGCATCCAGTTTTGAAGCGGGCCCTGTCTCAAAAGACCAGCCGACGCAGAGATGCCACACGACGTTGCACGCGCGCGCTGATGACTCAAACCACCAGCGTGACGCAGAGATGCCACGTGGCTGTACATTCAGTTTTGAAACGGGTTTTGTTTAAGACGACCGAAACGACGCAGAGATCGGGCGCTGATTCGAACGACCCGCGCTGAAACCAGGATCATTCATTTCCAAACGGGCGTTGATTCAAGTGAAGCAGAGATGACATGCGGCTGTGCATCCAGTTTTGAAGCGGGCTTGTTGAAAACGACCAGCACGACACCGAGATGCAGCGCGACTGTGCACGCGGTCGCTGATTCGAACGACCCGCACTGAAACCAGGATGCCACGCGGCTGAGCATTCATGCCCAATCGGGCGCTGGTTCGAACGACCGGCCCTGAAACCAGGATGCCACGAGGCTGAGCATTCATTTCCAAATGGGCGTTGATTCAGACCACCAGTGTGAAGCAGAGATGCCACGCGGCTGTGCATCCAGTTTTGAAGCGGGCTTTGTTTCAAACAGCCAGCACGACGCAGAGATGCCACGAGGCCTCGAGGCTGTGCATTCGGGCGCTGATTCGAACGACCAGCACCGAAACCAGGATGCGCCACGCGGCTGTGCACTGCCTTGCATTTATTTCCAAGCGGGCGCTGATTCGATCGACCAGCCCCGAAACCAGGATGCCACGCGGCTGAGCATTCATTTCCAAGCGGGCGTTGATTCAAACCACCAGTGTGAAGCAGAGATGCCACGCGGCAGTACATCCAGTATTGAAGCGCGCGGGAGCTGATTCTAACGACGAGCCTTGAAACCAGGATGCCGCGCGGCTGAGCATTCATTGCCAAGCGGGCGTGGACTCAAACAACCAGTGTGAAACAGAGATGCCATGCGGCTGTTAATCCAGTTTTGAAGCGGGCTTTGTTTGAAGCGACCAGCACGATTCAGAGATGCCACGGGACAATGTGCACGCAGTCGCTGATTCGAACACGACCCGCACTGAATCCAGGATGCCACGCGGCAGTGCAATCCTGTGCATTCATGTTCTAATGGGCGCTGATTCGAGCGACCAGCCCTGAAACCAGGATGCCACGCGACTGCGTAATGCTGTGCATTCATTTTGAAGCGGGCGCTGATTCGAACGACCAGCCCTGAAACCACGATGCCACGCGGCCGAGCATTCATTTCCAAGTAGGCGTTGATTCAAACCACCAGTGTGATGCAAAGATGCCACGCGGCGGTGCATCCAGTTTTGAAGCCGGCTTTGTTCAAAACGACCAGCACCACGCAGAGATGCCACTCGTGCACGGGCGCTGACTCGAACGACCAGCACTGAAACCAGGATGCCACGCGGTTGTGCAGTACTGTGCATTCATTTCCAAGCGGGCGCTGAAACCAGGATGACATGCGGCTGAGCATTCATTTCCAAGCCGGCGTTGATTCAAACCACCAGTGTGATGCAGAGATGCCACGCGGCTGTGCATCCAGTTTTGAAACGGGCCCTGCCCCAAACGACCAGCCGACGCAGAGATGTCGCGCGACGGTGCGCGCGCGCGCTGATGATTCAAACCACCAGCGTGACGCAGAGATGCCATGGGCTGTACATCCAGTTTTGCAGCGGGTTTTATTTGAGACGACCATTGCGGAAAAAAAACCAGGATGCCACGCGGCTTTGCAATGCTGCACATTCATTTGCAAGCGGGCGTGAATTTGAAAAACCACCCTGAATTCAGGGCCAGTTCAGGGCTGGTCCTTCGAATCAGCGCTCGAATAAATACGAATGCATAGCATTGCACATCTGGATGCATAGCCGTGTGGAATTAACGGGTAGACCTGTCACCTGTGCCCGCGTAACCCGTGTCACTTGTGCCCGCGCATCGCGTGTCACTTGTGCTCGCGTAGGTGCCTGAAATCACGGCAGGGCCACACTTTGGGCCACCTTTCGCGAAAACGCGGAC